GGGAAAAGTCCAGTGTGAGCTCTTAGCGAAGTATTTTAGACAATAATTCAGACATTTCAAGACCTTTAAACTGAAATATTAAAAGTATAAAGTTTAAAGGGTCACGAAACGCCAAAACACGAAACACCAGCGGGCGATGACTAACAGCTGATAATATGAGCGCTATTTTCCCGCTCCTGCATTTAATCTGTTCAAAGAGTTCAACTTTTAAAATTCTTTGACAAGTTGATGTTTTACTATAGTTTATGACAGAAAGGTTCTCATTTGGCCATCTTCTTTTAATCTAGCCCTTTTTAAACCAGTAGGCATCTTAACGTGATGTTCATGGTGTGATTTAAGCATGTGATAAATGCCACAGTTTTTTATTAGTTTATATTGGTTAAGTGGCGGATGTTACGCTCTCGCTCTCTCTCCGACTCTTCTGAAGTCTGTTCTGAAATGAAAGCATCAGACTCGACGTCATTCGCTATGGTTTTTAATGACGCACGACTCGCATTGACAGGTGAAAAGCCGATCTACCTGCTTACACCGCAGACACGAGGGCACAGATCCAATTCAAATTGGATAAATTCCCACATATAAACAAGGCCTGACAGTAGTGTTCCCTTCACTATACTGGGGCATCAGGACTCACAGACCACATGTTGAGCGCCCCCTTCTGGCCTCTCTAACACCACTTCCAACAGCAAACTAGTTTTCCCATGTGGTCTGCCATCCAGGTACTGACCAGGCTCAGCCCTGCTTGGCTTCAGTGTGTATCCGCTCTTGGGCTGCAGGGTGATATGGCTGTGGCACAGAACACAAGATTACATGAGTAAAAGTTCAAAAGGGGTTTTCTAGGACCAAAACAACTATTGCAATGCACTTTATGGCTAGGGACTAAACCGAAAAGAAAATGAATGAACTTTTTGGGCTAAAAATAGATTGTGTGAGTCAAAAAAGATTTTTATTTTATGCCAAAAAGTGGATATTACATTAAGATCATTTAGTACATTTCATACTGTAAATTAATCAAAACTCCATTTCTAATAGGTAATATGCCTTGCTAACAACGCCATTTGAACAACTTTAACAGGGATTTCCCTCAATATTCAATTTTTTTTGAGGCCTCAAACTTTAGCTTTTAAATTTCCTTCAACTTAGTCTCCTATTTATCAGAGGTCACCCCAGTGGAATGAACCACCAACTATTCCAGCATGTTTTACACAGTGGATGCCCTTCCAGCTGCAACCAAGTACTGGGAAACACCCACACACATTCAATTCCCCAATAGTGCATGTGTTTGGACTGTGGGGGAAACCGGAGCACTCAAAGGAAACCCACAACAACACAGGAAGAACATGCAAACTCCACACAGAAATGCCAAATGGCCCAGCCAGGGCTTAAACCAGTGACCTTTTTGCTGTGAAGCAACAGTGTTAACCACTGAGCCACCGTGCCACCCTTAGATTTAAGTTATTCATTTATTTATTCTTTTTCATTTCAGCTTAGTCCCTTTATTTATCAGGGGTCGCCACAGTGGAATGAACCGCCAACTATTCCAGCATATGTTTTACACAGCAGATGCCCTTCCAGCTGCAACTCATCATTGGGAAACACCCATACACTCCCATTCACACACATACATTCATTTTCTTTTCAGCTTAGTCCCTTTATTAATCTGGGTTCCCCACAGTGGAATGAACCACCAACCTATCCAGCATAACAATTATGCTGCAACCCATCACTAGGAAACATCCGAACACACTCATTCACACACATACACTACAGACAATTTAGCTTATACAATTCTCCTATAGCGCATTTGTTTGGACTGTGGGGGAAACCAGAGCACCCAGAGGAAACCCACACAAACACAGGGAGAGCATGCAAACTCCACACAGAAATGCCAAATGACCTAGCTGGGACTTGAAGCAGTGACCTTCTTGCTGTGAGGGGACAGTGCTAACCACTGAGCCACCATGCCACCCTTATATTTTAGTAGAATTTTGGCCAAACATACACACCTATATTCCCCAGTGATGGGTTGCAGCTGGAAGGGCATCCACTGGGTAAAACATATTCTGGATAAGTTGGCGGTTCATTTCGCTGTGGTGACCAAAGATTAATAAAGTGACTAAGCCGAAAAAATAGAGTGAAAATGATACACACACATGCAGCAATGGAAAGCGCATATATATATTAGAAATACAGTAGTTAAAGGTTTACCATGGCCAACAGGTCAGTATCTGAGTATTATCATGAAGGGGAGAAAAAGAAATCATGATTAAGACATCAGAAACGATTAACAAGAGCTCTAGACTCCCCAAAACGAGCCAACATGACATACTTCTGCAATTATATGTTTGTTTCCTCCATAACAAAGCTCTTTTGTCAGTGTTCCTGAGGTCTGAGCACTTCCTCGTGTAAAATCCCCCATGAGGCCTTTTAGGACGTCTTTTGTCTTCTATGCAAATATGTAATTCACGACGGTGGAAAATTTCAGCTTTATGTTTAAGAGGTGCTTTTACAGACACGCCACATGGGCCTGTGATTGTGTCTATTCAGCTGCACATTAACATGGTGGTAAACGCCTCGACTCTATTGTTCAAGCATTTCAGAAAGTCAGCGTGAAGTCATTGTGAACGTCATTTGCTTTAATGCACATGCATCGCCTTGCTGTGAACCATTAATTGCTGCATAACACTGGGGGACTTGACCAACAACAAAATTAAAAGCTCTTCTTATATTCTGATATATAAAAAAATATATATAAATTGACACACGCATGCACACTTTATATATATATATATATATATATATATATATATATATATATATATAACAGACACAAACAATATAATATTTAATTAAAAAAATTTATATAAAAATAAATTTAAATACTATTATTAAATAAATAAAAAATAAAGTATAAAATAAATATAAAATTAAAACATGAAATAAAATTTAAAAGAAACACACACACACACACACACACACACACACACACACACACACACACACACACACACACACACACAATAATATACAATAAAAATACTTAAAAATATTAAATACAAATAAATAATAAAATAAAAAGAAATAATAAATTAAAATATTAACTAAACAAATAATATATAATAATAATAGTACATACAATTCAAATACATGTACATGCAATTAATATTATTGAAATGAATAAAATATAAAAATTAAATTATAAAATAATAAAAAAGATTTAAAATAAACTTTTTATATATAAATAAAAATAAATGAAATACTAAATAAAATTCATATATTTAATATAGTTAATTAAATACAATTAATATTAAACAAATTAATAATAAAATATAAAAAGCAATATACTATATAAAAATTTAAAAAGACAAACACAAAAACATACTGATATAATATATAATAAAAATAAATAAAATATTTGATAAAATTCCAATAACTTTAAATAGAATTAATATTAATTAAATGGAAATTAGTAATAAAATCTGAAAAATAAACAAAATTAAATCTAAAATAATTATAATAAATCTATATATAAATCTAAACAAATATAATATAAAATAAATAGCAAATATAATTCAAACACATTTAAATACAATTAATAATATTTTAAATAAAAATGAATAAAATATAAAAAAATCTAAAACAAGATTTAAAACAATCAATATGATATATAATAAAAAAATATAATACTAAATAAAATTCAAATACATTTAAATACAATTAATATTAAATTAAAATCAAAATAAATATAAAATTTGAATTAAATAAATTTAAAATAAAATTTAACAGACAAACAGACACAAAATAATAAAAAAAATCAAACAAGTTTAAATACAATTAATATTATATTAAATAAAAACAAACATAATATAAAAACTAAATATAATAAATTGAAATAATAATAAACAAATCTAAATAAGTTTAAAACAAACACAAACCAAATATAATATATAATCAAAATGAATAAAATATTAAATACAATTCAAATTAATTTAAATATATTTAATATTATATGAAAAACAAATATAAAAGAAATATAAATGTAAAATAAAAAAACATCTAAAGTAAGATTTAAAACAGACACACACAGTATAATTCATAATAAAAATACATTAAATATAATGTAAGAAATTTAGGTCCCACTTTATATTAAGTGGCCTTAACTAATATGTACTTACACAGAAATTAATAGTTTGTTACAATGTACTTATTGTGTAAATACATGTATTTACTGTGTACTTATGCTTGATTAAATACCTGTATGTTATTACATCTGTAATTAACTTCTGTAATTACATTTGTAAATACACTGTTGACCATCCCTTACACCTTAACCCACCCTTAAACCTACCCACACCACCAAACCTGTCCATAACAAACCTCTACCCCAACTCAAAAGCACCACAAGTGTTCTCAAATACTTTATTTACAAAATAAGTACATTGTATTTATTTATTGATGTAAGTACATAGTAGTTAAGGACACTTAATATAAAGAGGGACCGAAATTTAAAACAAATAATATTATATGAAATAAAAATGATTGAATTATAAAAAATAAATATAATATAAAATTAAAAATCTAAAACCATATATAAAATAAATATATTATAACACACACGCACGCACGCACGCACGCACGCACGCACGCACGCACGCACGCACGCACGCACGCACGCACGCACGCACGCACGCACGCACGCACGCACGCACGCACGCACGCACACACACACACACACACACACACACACACACACACACACACACACACACACACACAATTTCTTCCACATGTTGTCAAACAATTTCTTAAGCATGTTTAATCATCTTGATAAATGTGACCTTAAGTTATTCTGTAAAATAAACGTTAAACAAAATAAAAGCCTGCTTTTCTCTGAACTGATTTATACAGAATTGTTGAATCTATTTATAGCATTTAAGGCAGGTACATTAGGAGTAACTCCTAACATTACAGTACATGAAAATCAAAATTAACCCCTTAACTTTTTTTTTAGGAGCAATTTACAGTAAATCGCTATTTTGTCACTAATTAGCCAACAGTGTCGATTAAATGTTAGTAAATACACACATGAATACATGTTTCAAAAGTGACTGAGAAAACCCTTTGATTGGATTTCTTCAGTTCAGCAGCACTACTTTTCAGTCAGATCACAAACAGATGTGCAAATATAATGTGCAAGTATCAATACTGAGCGTATTTTGATGCTGACTTTCAACGTAGTTCAGATTAAACCTCACAGATGCAACAAACATGCAGGTTCACATGTGCTCCAATAATGAAATCACAGTAAGATGTTTACATGATAGAAAAAACTCTTTACTCACATTTATTGTCATTATTTAAGCATTTGCTTTTATTGCTGCCATTATAGGCGTATTTGGGTTTTCCTGCAGTCAAAATATATGTTAAAGTTAAATGCATTTGCTGTGGTTATGATTAAGCTTGATTAAGTTGAATATCTTTACCGCCAACATCCAATTATAACCACATTTCAGTCCATGTGAATGTAGATGTTTTATTTTTTTAAAAATGCAATAATGCAGCAAACATTTATAGTATGTGTTTCAGGTTTATCTACATTTTTAATTTATTACACATTGCATTATTCATTCATTTAATACTCAAATAAGTTAAAGAACAGACACATGAATGAACTCGAACAACACTTGAGAACATGACGATGCTACAGATTAGTTTCAGTCACAGGGTCAGATTTACTCAGCGCTTGTGAAACACAAACCTTCTTTGGAGATTAATCAAACTTGTTTTGAGATTTACTAAAAACACACAATGAAACTAAAGACATTATTTCAGATGTGACATCTATGGGAAGAAAAAAGACTGGAGAAAGTCTAATAGTTTGCCTGGAGTTAAACAAAGTAAAAACTGCTGAGGTAGATATTATTAACCCCCTTATGAATTATTGCTTCATGTGTCTACAGAGCAAAGCATTGTTGTCCAATGACTTGATTAAATAAGTCAATTTGCCTAGTTACAATTAACCTAGTTAAGCCTTAAATTGCGCTTTAAGCTGAATAATGTTACTCCACTGTAAAGATGTGGTTCCAATGATGGATAAATATAAAAATGCTACAGTAAAATCCGTAACACGTTTAACAGTAGGGTTCTTTAATACGCATTTACAGGCAATTACTTTAAATTCACTTTCACATATTGCATGCATTTTTTTAGTTGACTGTTGCTTTTGTTTTGTTTTTGAGTTATGCACATTTAAGTTTTATGTCACATCTGATGTCGATTAATAAAGTTTATTGCATTATTTTATGTGTTATGATGGTGTTTAGTCTGTGAATGACACTGATCTGGGAAAAATGCATCTAAAAAATTCAAAGAAGGCAAATATTTAAAGTAAATCTGGCCCAAACCGCACCAGCAGTCCAAAACACTCACTGTTTTAGTAAATCTCTTCAGTGTTTCACTTTAGACCGTGGACATTGCCTTTAGTCACGTCTAATAAAAAAGCATTTTAAAATGTGAAAGAACAAGGCCAATATTATTATCCCAATTATAAAGGGGTGATTTTTTTAATTGGCTAAAAACACCACCACAATTTTACAGTAGTTTGCAAGTTTTTGATTTAGTGGCTAATTTGTATGATTTAATTTGCACTATTTAGTATGATCTGCTCATCCCTCAATAACGGTTGGGTTTAGAGGTGGGTTTGGAGGCCACGCCTCCTTTTAAAAGCTTTATGTACAACTGAACTGAATTTGTATGAATTAGCCACCAAACTGATCAACGTAAAACAGTTTTCTCACAAGATCAGGCTAATTAACCTAGTTAAGTCTTTAAATGTCACTATAAGCTAAATACCAGTGTCTAGCAAAATAAATCAAATATAATGTACTGTCATCATGACCAAAACAAAAGGTACGAGCTATCAAAGATGTGTAAAAATAGTGTATAAACATGAATTATTTGTCTCCAACTTCAAGTAAATCTGGCCCAAACTACATCAATAGTCCAAAACACTGCATAACTGCATTAGTAAATCTCTTCAGTGTATTGTGTGAAATGACCTCAAATGTTCATTTCCCTCAGTCACGTCCACCTGATGCAACGAGTCGGCAAAACCCAACAGATGTTCATTCCTCTGTGTCTTGCATGGATGAACAGAGCAAAACAACCTCCATCGGTCATTATCACGACAGAGACAAACCCTGAATCTCCAGCAAACATCTGTCCAGGAAAACCACCCCGATTCGAGACTCTTCCGACTCTCTGAAGTCCTCCTCAGCTTCAGGCATATCCTCAGTCTTTTCTGTCCTCATTATATAAGTTCTTTTGTCTTCTTGTCCTTCCAGAAGAAGTCCAGGCACCCAATTCTGCTTGTAGTTTGACGTTACTACATTAGGAACCTGTCCAGGCAGGTAAGATGAATCACTCTGAATGAGATCAGTTAATAAAGGCATTCGTTCAGCTGATTCATCTGGAAAAGATTCATCTTGAAAGAAAAGCTCGTGAAACTGTAATGCACCATTCTTATCAGGCCTCGCTGGAACCACTAGAGTCTTGCATTCAGCGTCTGAATGAATGAATTCAACTGAATCAGTCACTGGAATGAATGAATCAGAGCTGCTAAATGATTCATTGGTGTCCAAATGAATCAATTCAACTAAATCAGAATCTGAACTGAGTGATTCGGAGTTGTTAAATGATTCATTGGCATCTGATTGAATCAATTTAACAGAATCAGACTTTGGAGTGAACGTATCAGAGTTGTTTAATGATTCACTGGTATCTGAATGAATCATTTTAGGCGACTCAGACTCTGGACTGAATGAATCAGAGCTGTTAAATGATTCTTTGGGCATCTGAGCAGGTAAACAGAGGCTGTAGTTCTCTGATGGCTCTCTGCTATTCTGAATCTGGCCGTCCTGTTGGCATCGGTAAGGCTCCTGGGATGCGTATGCATTATCTTTAACTGTGATCTCAGACTTTTGCGGAGTTAAAGACGGAGTTTGTGGATCAGGCTTCATCCCAAAAAACATTCCGGACCACATTTCCACTTTAGATATGTTGTCTTTGGGATCGGACCAAAAAGGAGGTGTGTTGTTTTCTGGCAGCATCTGCAATTCAGAGAGATTCAAGAGCATCAGAATTATAGAGTTTTACCAAATGTTGTTTTGCATATACTAAAGGCTAAACATCAAACAAGGATTATTAGGATAATTAATAGGTTGCATTAGTTAATGTATTTATTAACATTACCAAACCATGAACAAATGCATTTATTACTGTATTTATTCAAGATGTTCATTGATAGTTCTTGTGACAGTGCGTTAGCAATTTTTAACAGCACCACTTTAGATTTTAAAGGGCATCTATTTGACCCCTTTTTCAAGATTTAAGACAAGTCTTTTGTGTCTCCAGAGTGTGTCTGTAAAGTTTAGTTCAAAACACCTATCAGATTATTTATTAGACTTTTCAGAACATTAAAATTTTCTGCTTTAAATATTATGTAGCTGTTTTTGTTGCCTGTGCCTTTAATACTGGTTCTCCCCGCCCACCGTTCATATGTGCCTGTCAGACTGTGCCTCAATCTCCGCCTCGGCTGCGTCAGATAAACAGCACAGTGACAGACATGAAGAAAGCAGACCTCACTTAACATTTGTGAGAAATACTGCAGTAAGAACTCTAACAATGATTATTTGATGTATTTGTTGTGGAGTTGATTCAAGCCTTTCTGCAACGATGAATCACACAAAATGTCGTTAGAAAGGTCAGTTTCAGTTCATTAGTGAAGTAGATAAAAATATAATACACAACAACTAATGATAATGATGATAATAAATAAAATAATAACAATAATAAACATTTGTTTTCCAAAGAGATGAACGTTAATCATTGTAATATAAGTAAGATTAAAAAAAAGAAGCATAATTATTAAAGTGTGGTTAAATTATTTAAATATTTACACAGGTATACGTCAAGTAAAGATTTATGAAACGGTGACTTGCACTCTGGATTTCATGCGTTTTATTTCATGCGAATCACTTGATCAAATGAACAGGAGCCCGTGGGGAAGTGGAAAAGTGAATAAGGCTTCGTCTATGAAGACAAATATTGACTTGATTAATCAACATGAGGTTACACAAAACCCCAAGCTGAGCCAATTTACTGAGCAAATATCAACACGCGTGATTTATCCTCTAATATCTCACCCAGATAAGACTGCTTTATATTCGGTGCCCAACACTAATATAGGAAAATCTGAGCAAAGGAGGCTGTAAACATGTGTTTATATGCTTATAACTTTTCAAAATATTATTAAAAACAAAAACAAACAAAAATTGAAGATGCTCATGTTTACTCTTTGCATAAAGGTTCATCCTTAGTATTTATTATGGATGCACTGAATTATCGCTAGCTGAAAATTATGGGTCAAAAATGCAGTTTACGGTTTTTGTTCAAAAGATTAAGGGGGCAGAAAGTATGAGGCAAAAAAAAAGCTATGCTGTATTCCAGGTTTTGATTTTTGGACAAGTGCATTCAGAATTTTTGGCTTTGGCAAATAATTTTTTTTTTCAGTGCATCTCTAGTATTTACTTACATAGAACTACTTATACATTCATTCATTCTTGTTTTTTTGGCTCAGTCATTTCAGAGGTTGCCACAGCGGAATGAACCACCAATTATTCCAGCATGTTTTACACAGTACTGGGAAATTTAGCTTATTCAATTCCCCTATTGCGCATGTGTTTGGAGAAACCGGTGCACCAAGAGGAAACCCACGCCAACACAGGAAGAACATGCAAACTCCACACAGAAATGCCAACTGACCCAGCCAGGACTCGAACCAGCAACCTTCTTGCTGTGAGGCCATGTTGCTAACCACTGACCCATTGTGCAACTCTGCTACTTATACAGCATTTATTAATTAAGAAATAAATGTACAGTTGAAGTCAGAATTATTAGCCCCCCTCTTTATTTTTCTCCAATTTCTGGGGAAAGAAGATTCAACACATTTCTACACATAATAGTTTTAATAACTCATTTCTAATAACCGATTTATTTTATCTTTGTCATGATGACAGTAAATAATATTAGACTAGATATTCTTCAAGACACTTCTATACAGCTTAAAGTGACATTTAAAGGCTTAACTAGCTTAATTAGGGAAACTAGGCAGGTTAGAGTAATTAGGGAAGTTATTGTATAACAATGGTTTGTTCTGTAGAAAAAATAGCTCAAAGGGGCTAATAATTTTGACCTTAAAATGTAAAAAAAATAAAAAATAAATAAAAAAATATTCTAGCCAAAATAAAACTACTAAAACTTTCTACAGAAGACAAAATATTATCAGACATACTCTGAAAATTTCCTTGCTCTGTTAATCATCATTTTGGAAAATATTTAAAGAAAAAAAAAATCTAACCAACCATCTTGATCTCATGAAGAAACTTAACAATTTTATGTATTGGCAGAAAAGTGGCTAATTCATACACATTTCTATGAATTTATGCATAAAAAATGTATGAATTTAAAAGTAGGCACTCCCATAAACCCTACTCATAAACCCAACCGTCCCAAACCGTTTGGGATGAGCAAAACTCACTAAAACTAATATATAAATAAAATTTCACAAAATTCAATAAAATATCTTAAATCCTATTTTATAATATCTCATAACATCTTGAAGAACTGAAACTAACCCTAACCAGCATATGATAATGAGCAAATGTTAACATTGACAATTAAATAAATAAATAAGGTAAATAATGCTCATGTTTTCAAAGGCTGCCAATATTAGTGTAGTAGGGCACTGTAATAATATATTGAATCCTACCTTACATGATCTTGAAGAATCAAAACTCTAATCCCTAAACCCAACCATCATTAGGAGATGCGCAAATTATACAAAAATTTTACAGATGCCTTTCCTCATATTTTCCAAGGATGCCAATATTAGTGGATGGCACTGTAATAATATCTTGAATCATATCTTACAATATCTCGAAGACCCCAAACCCAACCCATCATATTTTTGTATAAAATAATACTAAATAATATTAATGCTCATAAGTGCAAGTTCCAAATGTGCCAATATTAGTGGAGGACACTGTAATAATATTTAGAATTTTATCTTACAATATATAAAAATATCTAGAAGACCAAAACCCAAACCATGAATCCAACCATCATTGGGGATGAGCTAATCATATTAAAATGAACAATTAAAATAAATAAATAAACTGGCGGTATGGTGGCTAGCACTGTCGCCTCACAGCAAGAAGGTCGCTGGTTCGAGTCCCAGCTGGGTCATTTGGCATTTTTGTGTGGAGTTTGCATGTTCTCCCCATGTTGGTTTTCCTCCAGGTGCTCCGGTTTCCCCCACAGTCCAAACACACGCGCTATAGGAGAATTGAATGAACTAAATTGGCTGTAGTGTAAGAGTGTGTGAGAATGTGAGTGTATGGGTGTTTCCCAGTATTGGGTTGCAGCTGGAAGGGCATCTGCTGTGTTAAACATATCCTGGATAAGTTGGTGGTTTATTCTGCTGAGGTGACCCCTGATGAATAAAGGGACTAAGCCAAACGAAAATTAAAGAGTTAATGAATAAATTAATAAATAACACAAAAAAGGTAAATGATGCTCATATTTTCCAAGGGTGACAATATTAGTATGAGGCATGTAATAATATCTTGAAACATTAAAACAGGTTTATTTATGTATTGAGCAACTTATGGCCATTTCATATGAAGATCAATAACACATATCCATTACAAGAACAACTTCATATTTCAATAAGAGATGATACACAAACAAATATATACACAGAAATAAATACTACGCACAAACACTGAATATTAAAAGTGAAATATCATAAAAACAGGTTCAATGATCCAGTAAAGCAGTATTTCTCAACCACGTTCCTGGAGGAACACCAGCTCTGCACATTTTCCGTGTCTCCTTAACCTAACACACGCTACTCAGATCATCATTAGCAGAGACTGAAAGAGCTGTAATGGGTGTGAGACAAAGGAGGCATCCAAAACATGCAGTGTTGGTGATCCTCCAGGAACGTGGTTGAGAAACACTGCAGTAAAGCATTGACGTCAGTGACTGGATCTGGCAGCAGGTGTGTGTTTTAATCGTTATCGACACGAGCTGCCAGAAGCATTGCAGAGGAAAACACACACATTCCTTGAGCAGCGAAACGTGACGCTCTTGTCAAACAGGACTTTCGGCTGCCGGTAAGACACTTTACAGGAGTTTCCCTCAGAGATGACACAATCACTCACCAGAGCTTTCGGTAAGGAGCGCTTTCGTTTCACAAAGCGATGGCAGAGCATGACGGATAGGAAGACCATCAGCAGCGCAGCCAGCACACTGGGCCACATTAAGATATGGAGCAACGGATTAGGAGCTGAAAGACACAAAAAATATGATAATTATTATTTTTTGTTGCTAAATGAATGCTATTTAAATACTACCAATATTATTCTGATTGACATTGCTTTGTAATACACATTCCTGTTACCTCAATTTCATTCATCTTTCAAATATACATTCATTTTTCTTCGGCTTAGTCACTTATTTATCAGGGGTCGCCACAGCGGAATGAACCACCAACTTATCTAGCATATGTTTTACACTGCAGATGCCCTTGCAGCTACAACCCAGTATTGGGAAACACCCGTACACACTCACATTCAACCACACACACACTCTCATACACTACGGCCAATTTAGCTTACCCAATTCCCCTATAGCGCAAGTGTTTGGACTGTGGGGGAAACCGGAGCACCTGGAGGAAACCCACGCCAACACCGGGAGAACATGCAAACTCCACACAGAAATGCCAACTGGCCCAACCAGGACTCGAACCAGAGACCTTCTTGCTGTGAGGCCACAGTGCTAACCACTGAGCCACCGTGCTGCCCCCTAACACTGATATGTCTCACATTTGATTTTGCCAACTTTAAGTACTATCTGCGATCATTATTTTTGCATATTTTATAAAAGGAATACATTTTATAAATAAAAAACTTTTCAGATTTAAAAGGGTGGTCCACGATATCATATTTTAAACTTTAGTTGATGTGTAATGTAGCTGTTTGAACATAAACAGCATCTCTGAATGTAAGACACTCAAAGTTCAATGCAAAGGGATACATTGGCTTTTACGGAGTTAGCTTAGCAAAGGCTACAGTGAACGAATTTGAGGACTACAAAAAACCAAAAAAACATCCGAGCTAGTGAGATCAAGGGCTTTAGGTTACGTGTATTCACCATGCGCACACACCCTGCGCAGTGAAGGGACGTGGCCAGAGGCGCTTCAATGTTAAAACAGTGAAAGCTAAAATTGCATCCGTCTTTCGGATGAGACGTTAAACCGAGGTCCCGACTCTCTGTGGTCGTTAAAAATCCCAGGATGTCCTTCGAAAAGAGTAGGGGTTTAACCAGGCCAAATCTGCCCACTGGCCTTTGTCCATCATGGCCTCCTAACCATCCCCATATTCCAATTGGCTTCATCGCTGTCTCCTCTCCACCAATCAGCTGGTGTGTGGTGTGCGGTCTGGCGCAAAATGGCTGCCGTCGCGTCATCCAGGTGGATGCTGCACACTGGTGGTGGATGAGGAGATTCCCCCCATTGTGTGTAAAGCGCTTTGAGTGCCCAGAAAAGCGCTATATAAATGTAAGGAATTATTATTATTATTATTAAAATGGCGTCCAAATGCTGCTACTTTCACAGAGCTTCTTCTGTTTCTGTATTTAGGCTTCTGAAGAACACAACACAAAGACAGAAGTGCTTAGTTTTATTTTAATTATGTCCCCGAGAATTATATAAAACGATATAGCTCTAGCATTTGACAAAGGAGAACTTCCAGAATCTCTCTCAGTTCAGTGGTGGATTCGGTTAAAACTCCTCCAACCGACGAAGCTGTGGATTGTGAGCCACAACCTGTAAGTGTTTTTATTTGTTAAAATTGATCAACTACTTCATACCAAACTTTTTTTTAATCATTATTGACAATGATGTTCGGTCAACACTGATACTGTTTTTTTAATCGGCCAGCCCCAATAGTAAACCAAGCAAAGTAGCAATCACAGGTTTAGTGAAAAGTTCAGACTGAAAGCAAATGTATTCAGAAGTAATGAGTGTTTAAACTGTAGATTTACCTGAGACGGTGAGACAGAAGGTGGTGTTTTCACTGGGTCTGAACCAGCCGGGATGAGTGAGCGAATAAAACACTTCGCCACAATACTCCACATCTTTCCATAGCAGCTCGATCAACACTGAAGGAGACGTCCTGCTAAAATATTCCTGAGGAAACACACCAACAGTCACTCCACAAACAATTCACAACACAGATTCAGCCAGAAACATGACCTGAGATCTAGTGGCTGAGGATCGTTGATAAACTTGCAGTTCGCTAAAGAACTACAAATCCGCCAGTATATAGAACTACAAGTTCTGTTTCCTTTGCCTTGCTTTGCCGTTTTGATTCTCTCCTTGTTTGTTTACGTTGCTTGCTGCTTGTATGGACCATTTGCCTGTTTGATGACTATATACATCGATAATCTAGCAGCTGCAGATCTGTGATAAACAAGCAGTTTCGCTAAAGATCTACAAATCCACCAGTGTATGAACTACATGTTCCGTCATGCACCTCGCACACAGCGGTTCCCATTTCAGTTTGATTTTATGCGCACACACAGCCAGAGGATAGTTACGGGGACTTTAAATACACGAGGCACACACACACATCTTTGCTGAGTCTTGTTTATCTGTCATTGTGAACATTACGACGCTTTTACCTTGCCTTGCTTTGCCACTTTGATCCTCGCCTTGTTTGTTTACATTGCTTGCTGCTTGTACGGACCATTTGCCTGTTTTTGACCCTGTTGACATTGCCTGCCTGAACATCCTGTTAATAAACCTGCATTTAAATTTGCACCTCTGTTGTCAGCGTCTCCTTTCGTGACAAATTTACAAAAAAAACAGCTTAAGTACCCACACTGAAATAGCTTATACGTCGGCAACTTTAAGTACAAGTTACTATCATTATTTTTGCACATTCATCATGCCATTCCTATTCAATCTTGCCTACTTTCAGAACTTAATCTGCGGTTCTGTATAATTGTTACGTCCCAGGACGTATTTGTTTCTGTTTCGTTTTTTCTTTTTCTTTCTTTCTCTGCTACACTCTAATAGGTGATGATGAACATCACCTGCTGCCACTAATGAACCATTCAGTGATTGGAGGACGAGTAAAGTTGTGGGCATTTAAGCAGCTTGTCTCCAATGGAACAGTGTGTTTGTGTGTGTATGGAGGCTCTTTTGTGAGACTTTAAAAATATTCTTTGTTTAATCCTTTAAGCATTATTTGTTGATTAGGAGCTTTGATTTGTTTAAGTTCTGTGGATGCTGTTGACTATCTGATACAGCCTTTGTCTCAACCTCTTTTTGATTGTAAGTTAATTTATGTTTTCAATTCTACTTTGTTAACCACTCTTAACTCTTTGTTAATCGAGGATTGGGTTAGTAGAGAGGGGGTGCCATTTTACTTTTTGTAACAGTTTTCTCCTGTTTATGTTAGTAAGGGAGTGAGAGTATTTTTTATGTATTTTTCTATTCTTTTCTTTTTATAAATTTAGTTCTTCCCTTTCTCTCAGTTAGACAACTTTTGTTTGTTATTTTGGCTTGAACCCCCTCTTGAAGTTTTTTTGGAACCCTCCCTTAATCCTTCAAGAAATATTTTGTTAATCTTCTTTCAGGTTGCATATTTCTTCTATTTAGTCCTTTGAGAGGTTGCTCTTAGGACCTCAATGCTAACACACACACACAAAACTCCACTAACATTCTGTTGCGTACCCTTGTCCCCCTAGACAGATTATTCTCTTTATTCTCTATTTTCACCTGGGGATACTCATTCCGAGGTCCTCAGATTATGCAGAGTCCCTGATTGGATCAAAGACCAGCGACGAGATGATCCCAAGGTTTCCATATCCGGGACCAGGCCGTATCCTGAGCTGCTGCTGCGCTGATAGTCATGGGGAGTGGAGAACATGAGTCTGATTCCAGCGACGCTCCAGGGACAGACGAGTCTTCGCTGAGGCCATCTTCCAGCCTCCACCACGGTGACTGAAGCTCTGTACAAGACTTTTGGCCAGCGGAGAAATTAAAATGGTCGTGCCCAACTAAGTTTGCTTCTCTCAAGGTTTTTTTTCTTCACTCCTATCAGGTGAAGTTTTTTTTCCCTCTCCGCTGTCGCCACTGGTTCAGGATTGGTAGAGCTACGCATCTATGAATTTGCTCTTCAGTGTTTGAACTCTCAGTAATGATAAATCACACTGAACCGAGCTAAACTGAACTGAACTTAAACACTAAAACCTGAACCACACTGTTCCAGTTACTATGACCATTTATGTGAAGCTGCTTTGCCACAATCTACATACAAATAAAGCTGAATTGAATAGACAGAGTTGAAGGGAACGTAACAATAATGCTAAATATTTTTTTATTTATATTAGTTATAAATGCATGATTTCTTTCTCTCTCCCTTTCCTTCTTGGCCTTTTGTCACAGATGAAACCAGAGGTGAAGTAATATAATCAGAAATGCTGTTGATCTCCTTTGCTTGTACTCCACTTGAGCACATCCATTCATTAGAGGATTGAAATTCTTTATTTTAGTTTTATTTTAGAGGCTCATTTTTGACCTGAAGGACAAACGGTGTATACAGAATTCCAGGACAACAGGAGAGATGATACTAACCTGTGATCCGGGATGGGTCAGACGAACAATGTATTTAACAGGGTATCGTTTCACATCCCTGTAGTCCGCCCAATACTTTATGCTCTCAATGGAGCGATTCCACGGAACCCTCGGCTTAGAAAGAGTCACATTCAGATGGGTTTGGTTTGAGGTTACGGTCAGCTGCGGTGCCGCTAATGTGGCTAAAAGAGAGAAACACAACAGATATAGCAAAATTCTGAGAAAATAATAAGCAGGTCATGATAATATTTACTTTAAAATGATACTTTGATTTGTGTTTGATCATTCTGTATTATAAACTCTGCATTTAACTAAAAACAGCGGTATAACCGTGTTTCTTGTCAAATTCATCGATTCTCATGCAATAGAAAATTCATGTTAAAAAAGTTGCTCTATTAATCAAATTGACACACACACATTTCTTTGTGTTTTATGACTAGTGTGTAGTGAACATAGGTCAAAATAACAAGTATAAAGAGATTTTCTCATACGCATTTGTACACAGCACCTTATAACCTGTATATTTATAACAAATCTGGTCATACAATTCAACATGCAGATTTTTTGACTGACTGCATCTGTTTAAAGATTATCGTATTTTTGTCATATTTATTTTGTATTGTCACTTTATGTACACTGGAAGCTTCAGTAGCCAAAACAAATTCCTTGTGTGTGTGAAGCACACTCGCCAATAAAACTCTAACTATATTAGATTCTGATTCTAATAGGGATGCAACATTACAGTTAGCTCACGGTTCAATACATACCTCGGTTTTTAAGCACGGTTTTCGGTTCGATTCTCATGGCTTGACGGGTGTTTTAATTTATTCTATAGGCATATAAAATTTAAGTGAATTTTTTGTTCACAGTTTCTTCTTTTACTGGCATTATACTTGCCAGCAAAACCAAAATGTCCTCACACCGCAGATTTGAAAGACGCTGGCGCTTTCTCGCACTGTTGCATATTTTTTATGCACATATTTTTTTGCATGCACATTACTTGCTCCGACTGAGAAATAGACACCAAAAAAAAAAAAAAAATGATATTCATAGTTAAACCAGCATTTTAAACGGTTTGAAAACTAAATGCGTCAAAGTGACCCAAAACTGACACAGACCAAAATCTAACACAGAACCACTGATCTAACCAACTTTTATATGAAAAGTATTCGACTAAACTAATGGCATTTTAGTTAAGACTAAGCAAAACTACATAAAAATTTGCGTTAAGAATTAACAGTGCATCACTGGTCCTCACCCAAATGTTTTTTAACAACTTTGCAGGCACATTCCTCACTCCAACTGAGAAAGACAGAAAACTTGAAAAAGATATTCACCAGCATATTAGGCTCAATGCACTCAAAGTGACCCAAACCTGACACATAAAACCAAAATCCATCAGAGAACCACTGATCTACACAGCTAATAAGGATATGAATAAAGCTAAATGACATTTTAGTTGAGACTAAACGCCACACCCCTAGTCCTAACCAAAATATAAGTAAATATGTACTGGCTTTCCAAAACAAACTGTGTGTGCATATTTCAAACTCCTAAATGACATTTTAGTTAAAAGAATAAAGGCTCTATTTTAATGACCTAGGCTCAAATTCTTAAGTGCATGCTACAAAAGAATTAAGGGCATGTGTGAATCCACTTTTGCTGTTTTAAGGACGGAGAAATATGCTTTGCACTGCCGTGCAAGGTCTAACAGTGTTGTGCTTATTCTCTTAATGAGTTCTAGTTGTGTTTTGAGCATAATGTGCATTAAACCAATCAGAGTCTCATCTCCCATTCCCTTTAAGAGTCAGCTGCATTATACCATAGTGCCTTTGCTATTTACATGGTGCACTTTGTAAATGGAAAAACTGAACGCGTCATTAACAAGAAAACAGTTCAGCATCTGCAGTGCAAGGATAAAGAATGAGCCTCCTCCATTCTGCCTCTTTACTTTCTCTTTACTTTAACCCTTCACTTTACTACTTTACTTTGGTGGATTTAGGAAACGGTGGAAACTCACTCCACTGAAGACATTCCTTAGCCTACATATTTAATTTTGTTTGTTAAGCGCAAAGATTTGTTTCAAAACTACTTCTAAATTCAGTTATAATTTTAAGCAAACGAATAATAACAGAGAATATGGTGAGATTTATGGTGCCCCATATGGTGATGCAGACGTCTCCAAAACCTGACAGGCGGACAAATCTACACTTGTATTTAATAAACAAATATAAATATGCATCTAATAAATAATATTGATATCAAAAACATCATAGAGATTGCTATAAATAAAGGCATGGAGGCAGGGGTTTTAATATTTACGTAGAAAATAATATGTGTTAATGACTATACACATTATATTTTGAATAATAATATAAGAAACATAATATATATATATAATATAATATATATATATATAATATATATATATAAATAACATATATAATATAAGAATCAGTTTGCATCAGCGTAACCCATTGCTTTTAAGATGTTAAAAACGGTTGAAGTGAACAAAACTGAAAGTCTTGAGCCAAAAAGATTTCAATGGCTGCGCCTCTCATACATCAAGAATGAGGTCAATAGGAAGAGTGTAGAATATATCTTACTTTCTTTAAACGGAGAGAACCTCACTTCACCCAGACACTGTGCGCCTGCATATACAATGGCTTTATATGTGATGGTGACTTCGGTCACCACTGCACTCATCACATCAGTCAGATCACACACTGGAGATGAGATGTTCTGGCACCACGGAACCAGCTGACGAGGACTGCCATACCTGAACAAGCACACAAACAAAAACAAGAGAAACACTTAATGCCATTATTCACAGCACAACTTGAGCTGCGTTCCCAAAACCATCAATGGAGAATTAATTGTGTGTGCTAACATATCTTGACAACTCAGTGCTTCCAGAATCCCTAATGACAGTGAATATTCACAATCAGTGTGGTCTTTTAATGACTGCAGAAAGCCTTATGACATTAACTTGAGATATTCAGCGCAGATTTTAGAATTTATCATGCATTAACGTTAAAAATCAGTTCTAATTTATGCTTTCTTTAGTTTGATGTTTTGAATTGTATATTCATTAATAAAATGTTTGTGTCATGAAAGTAGCCTTTATTGCTGACATGGCATTAAATGAAAATTCATCATCATCACAAACAGTGTGGTTAGAATTGAGTTTCCGCATTGTAAGACCACCTGATACTGTACAAAACTGTGAACAGACTTTCAAAAACACAGCCATGAGCTGAAATAATGCATGCTCATTCGAAACGCCAATTGAGAAAAAGCTACCAAATAAAAAAAAAAAATTCATTGTTAAACCAGCACTAAAGCAGTTTTAAATCTCAAAGCTGAAGCAAAACTGAAGCCATACCTGACATGATTTGTTCTTTGACTTTTCGATATCTGTTTTTTTCCAGATTTCATCTATTTTATAACAATAAACTGAGAGAATATACATACAAAAATATACTTGCATTTTCTTTAGCAGAATTTCTACGTTGTAAAACTACCTGATAGTGAAATTTCACATTCTATTCAATTCATGTTTATTTCTATAACGCTTTTACAATGTAGGTAGTCAAAGTAGCTTAACATAGATGATTATAATAAATTAAAACTGTCAGTCCAGATTTCAGAGATGAACTTCAGTTTAGTTCAGTTTGGTTTCATTTTCCCTGCGGAAAGTTTAAACACTGAAGAGCAAATCCATCAATGAGCAGCTTCACAAGTCCCAAACCAAGCAAGCCAGTGGAGAAACAAACCAATTGAAAAAGTGAAGGGAAAAAAAACTCGAGAAACCAGGCTCTGTTGGGCACAATCATTTCTCCTCTGGCCAAACTTCCTGTGCAAAGCTGCAGTCCAAGTGCTAGAGAACGCTGGACGTCCAAAACATCACTGGACAATACTCAAAACCTTCAAAACAAAATATTTAGGAGAACTAACTTAAATCTAAATATTTTTTTACCATCAAGTGGTTTCAAACCTTTTTAAGTTTCTGTCAACACTTAATAAATAATATATTAATATTAACACACTTAATATCATTTAAACCACACTGAACTAAACTGAACTCTGAAATCTGGACTTTACTAGAACTATGTTAAGCTGCTTTGACAATCTACATTGAGAAAAGTGCTATAAAAATAAACATGAACAATTTCCTTTAGTCTGAGAGTGTGTTAATTTCGTTGACGAAAAATTTGTCAATTTTCTTGATGAACAAGTTTCCACCGACGAAAACTAAATAAAAATTAACTGATGATGACAACAACTATAATACAGATATACTGACATTTTACTAATAAAAAGGAGATGAGAATGGGATTGGATATTTTTAAAAAAACAAACAAATCAGAATTAATCTTGGTGTGTGATGCATGAGGCTCACACACAGTTAAAAAATGTGACTGATCCACAGTGGACACGGGATGCAATCACATCTCATAAGACTATAGAGGTTTAGTTGACTAAAACCTTATGAAATTTAGTCGACTAAAACTAAAATGATTCAGAAGACTAAAATATGACATATATATATGATTAAATCAAACTTTGCTGGCAAATTTAACACTGGTATGGGACAAAGCATAACAGGAACTATAAATCTAAGTTTAAGTCAATGTTAAAATAATAACAATAATAATACAATTAAATAAAATCAATCTCTTAATTTTGAATGTTAAACATATCTAAATTTTAGTTAACTTAATCCAAAAAAATGAGTTGAATTAGTCAACATTCAGTTCAATTGTTTATTTTTAACTGGAGTAAAATGATCTACTTTAATTGAATTGTTCAGTTGTACAGATGACATATGGACTAACATAGATCATGACCTTACATGCTAAACTAAAATAAACTGTGTTTTGTTAGGAGGCGTGCATGTGAAGTGCTGTTATGAGGATCATGTCACAAAACAAAAAACCTAATTAACCAGTCCTTTGATGCCATGGTCTTTATTAAAGCTACAATCTGACATTATTGACCTAAAATGTAGTAATAAGCAGATGCTTTCATGAAGTTTAAAAACAGCTCTAAATAATGTGGTTAATGTACCTGTGACAGTTCAGTCATGATGACTCCCTAGCTAGTGTCTTCAACGATGCGTCATGCTTATAATTCAGCAGCGTGTTATGGCATTGCTTTGAAAACACACCTGTCTAGTAACTGAATCAGCTCTCATTTTAATTAGTCACGTTAGTGCGTGTATAGAGACATTACTCCAATTTAAGACCAACCAGACTGTAACTATAGTAAACAACTGCACAGGTAAAACATGAAGACACACCCTGTATCCTGTGTGTCATATAATGTGCATTATTATATTACAGTTATATGATATTGCAGGTTTATAATTATCTTTGGAGCAACCCTTAAAGTCATAACAGTAGCATTCCAGCACGCTATCTCAATCCAATTACCTTAACTGCAAGATTTATTCATTCATTCGTTTTCTTTTCGGCTTAGTCCCTTTATTAATTCGGGGTCACCATAGCGGAATGACTTGCCAACTTATCCAGCACGTTTTTACACAGCGGAGGCCCTTACAGCCGCAACCCATCTCCGGGAAACATCCACACACGTACACACACTACTGACAATTTAGCTTACTCAATTCACCTGTACTGATTGTCTTTGGACTGTGGGGGAAACCGGAGCACCCGGAGGAAACCCATGCGAACGCAGGGAGAACATGCAAACTTTACACCGAAATTCCAACTGACCCAGCCAATGCTCGAACCAGGGATCATCTTGCTGTTGGATGACAGCACTACCTACTTGCGCCATTGCTGCTCGCATCAAATTCAAAGCTCTGATGTTTGCCTACAAAGTGACTTCTGGCCTTGCTCCTTCTTATCTGCTCTCGCTTCTGCAGATCTATGTGCCCTCCAGAAACTTGCGTTCTGTGAATGAACGTCGCCTCGTGGTTCCATCCCAAAGGGGGAAGAAATCACTTTCGCGAATGCTTACGCTCAATCTGCCCAGTTGGTGGAATGAACTCCCTAACTGCATCAGAACAGCAGAGTCACTCGCTACTTTCAAGAAACGACTAAAAACTCAACTATTTAGTCTCCACTACACTTCCTAATCTGTAATTGCCTCTCTGAATATCACACTAACTGTACAAACAAAATACTAATATAAATACTAATAAAAAAAATACTAATACTACTAATACTTCCCTTCTTAGACTTTACAGACCTGAAACTTGCTTATAGCACTTATTCATTGTTGCTCTTGGTTGTGTAAATTGCTTCCTTGTCCTCATTTGTAAGTCGCTTTGGATAAAAACGTCTGCTAAATGACTAAATGTAAATGTAAATGTAAATGTGCGTCGCCTAACTGTAAGATTGTAATGCAAAATTCTAATTTCTCTGGATTTATATTTATGTGTTTGGGGTAAAACACTATTTTGCATGTTCTGTAAACTACTGATGACAATACTTAAAAATAAAATCCAAAAAAGAAAAAAAGAAAAGAAAGAAAAAGTACATTTATTTGAGATTTGAATCACAAAAACAGTTTTAACTTTGGTGAACGACCCTGATTTTTCCATCACAGCACATAACTTGTTACTCTGACAACATTTTAATTTTAAATAAGTAAAAATGACAGAATAAAACAAATATAAACAGTCGTTCTTTCATTTTCCTTCAGCATAGTCTCTTATTTATCAGGGGTTGACACAGCAGTATGAACCACCAACTATTATGGCATACTGTATGTTTTATGCAGTGGCATTCGCAGCGGCCTTCCAGCTGCAACCCAGTACTGGGAGTAGCAAACACCCATACAGAGTAGCAAAAGATTAAAAGAAAATCGGCACTGCCACTTAGCTCTCAAAAAAAATGTTCAAATTTTCACTTTGACCTACATGGTATTTATCAGGTTTTCTACCTGGTCTCCATACACGGACAGTTCAGTGGTGACTTCAGTGGTCACCAAACTTGTTCCTGGAGGGCCGGTGTCCTGAAGATTTTAGCTCCAACCCTGATCAAACACATCTGAACAAGCTAATCAAGGTCTTATTAGGTATACTTGAAACATCCAGGCAGGTGTGTTGAGGCTAGTTGGAGCTAAATCCTGCAGGGACACCGGCCCTCCAGGACCGAGATTGGTGACCCCTGGTTTAGTTCATCAATTCACCTTTAGCTACCTTTAGACATGTAGACATGGTCATGCTACACACTTTGGGCTCATTAGTACCAATTGATCATCGTGTCAACGCCACAGCCTACCTGAGTATTATTGCTGACCATGTCCATCCCTTTATGAGCACAGTGTCTCCATCTTCTGATGGCTACTTCCAGCAGGATAACACACCATGTCATAAAGTGTGAATCATCTCAGACTGGTTTCTTGAACATGACAATGAGTTCACTGTACTCAAATGGCCTCCACAGTCACCAGATCTAAATCCAATAGAGCACCTTTGGGATGTGGTAAACGGGAGATTGATATCGTGGATGTGCAGCTGACAAATCTGCAGCAACTGTGTGATGCTCTCATGTCAATATGGAGCAAAATCTCTGAGGAATATTTCCAGTACCTTGCTGAATCTATGCCATGAAGGATTAACGCCGTTCTGAAGACAAAAGGGGTCCAACCCGCTACTAGTAAGGTGTACCTAATAAAGTGGCCAGTGAGTGTATATAATATGTCAAGGAAACAGCATGGGAGGAAGTTGCTGTGGGCCTTGGTGCAGTTTTTATGGTGATAAAAATCTTCCGGCCAAAAATATTCTGTGCATCCCTACCAAATGAGAAACAAAAGTCAGGAAAGAGCATGAAAAACACTCAAAAGGATAACAGAGGAAGAAAAGGAGGTGAAGAGTTTGCCCTGATGTGCGTTTTTTTTCTCCACATTACAGTTGGAGGATTATCCGGAGCTTTTCTTTTCTCTCTCATCCCGTCATCCTGCTGTCAGCATCGCTGACCCTCCCAGCATGCACTACTGCACCCTGCTATCCCATCAGATTTACTTTTTCGCCATCAGTTTCTCAGCAAAACGTAACTGTGACCGGTGCAGAACGTTCAGTGCAAGGCCAGAAATATCTGCAGACGCAGCTCCTTCCTGCGCCGTTTCTAATTGCAGTTCACAGACTGAAGAGCAGATTCACAGCCGGACGAGCAATACGTGTCCTTCAGCAAAGACACCAGTCACTGAGTTTAGAGTTGGATGCAGAAAACACAAGGACTGAGAGGAGATTTTGTCAGATGACTGCATTTTGGTTCCTTTCAACTGGTTCGGACCAAAGCCAGCAGTGTGGTGTGAAAAGGACCCAAAGACGGCAGAAAATACAACAATGTGTCATTTATTGCCCTTGGTCCAGACCCTAGACTGTAAAATATATGGATGTAGTATCCATGACGTCACCTATAGGTTTCTGAAGAGCGCAAAAGAAGCCACAAGTAGGCGTGGCTAAGCGTCAACATTTTGTTCGCGCGTCATCACACCCACGGCGGGATACCAAACAAGGGCAAACAGGCGGAGAGTGAGCGGAGCTACAGACACCTGCTAGCATTTAGCTTGGACCTGGTTCAGACACACTTTACTTTGGGAGAACGCTTAATACTTTATCACCTGTGACTCGTTTGTATTCTGACCACTTGTGTTTTGCTGTATACTATATCAATAAAGTGTTTAGTCTTTTAAAAACACTGCTGTAATAATTGAGCCACTAAGTATTGTTCTCATGACGTTTTTCAACAGGAGGAAAACGCAAATTACTTCCAAACACTTCAGACATAGTCTGTGTTAGTTAATGTAAGACTATTGATGAAATCCAGCATAACACTGTTTGACAACGCTTCAGATGACTGATCTAGAGTCTACAGCTAATCAATCTGACAGATTCTGCAGTGCATTACAGCTCTAAATATAAACGATAAATGATCTTAAATAAAACAAATACATGTATAGAGATGGTATATCAGTACATAACTTTACTCACATAGGAAACAAAGGCCACGTGAATGGTTTGTGAGCACAATTAAGTGCACACAGCATGCCATGCTATCTGATAATTGTAGGAAACAAGTCCAAAAGGCAGTTGACTGTGTAAAGCCACATAAAACAACACAGAAATACGATGAACATGCTGAGATCAGTGGCTAATCTGCAGGATTCAGCTGAGGTGACGTGACGGCGACCAACGAGACCTAGCTGTCACTCAAGTGGCCACGCCCTTAATTATGCAAACTTAATATAACTTAATATAAAGGAAGCAGATGAGTTATAAAAAAATTCACCCCCTCTCAGTTGTCATGAAGGGTAATATTAGCTGTATTAACCAAAATCTTTTTTGTCGCAGGCTGTAAACACCTTTTTTTCTGCTGTAAAATTGGCTATTCTAACAGTGGGGATTAATTGAATTTGAATTTTGATTAATTTGCTCTATTTTGGAGCCAGGAGCGGCAAGGACTAGCGGAATTTCGGATGAGTTGCAGTTTTAGTTACTTCCGTATTGGCTTCCCAAGGGAGAGTGGGAGGTTGGCGCTTGGTCCAGACCAAGCGAACTACAGATGTGAAAGCACTGTAATACATTAATTATTGTTCATATAAATGCCTGTGTGTTCAGATATGTACACACTCTAATGCATGACATTAATAATTCCTCTATGCAGAATTATATCTGGCCTGACTATTGCTGCCTAATAATTATAGTTGAATCTCAGTCAAATGGAATAAAAATAGTTATAATAGTTTAAACTTCATATAACTAAAATATATAATCAGTTGAGAGCTGATTAAGATGATTGATGACATTTATGACAGTCATATTTTTCAGTGTGCTGCTAGAGCAAAGTCTGTGCTGTAAATTAATGCTTGTGAAGCCAAAGAAAAGTGAAAGTGAAAAGTAAAGGGATTTCTCTTGGCTGGGTCACTCACGGGCTGTACTGGACACTGTAAAGAGCCGTTTGACCTGGAAGGTCAACAGGATCCCAATGGAGAACGCTGAAGAAATTCTGGGACTTGAAATAAGGCTTCGTCAGGTTACAGTTTTGGCACCAACAACCTGCAAACAACAACAGGAGACAAAAAAGTTATTATGTTACCTTATAATAGACAATCAGCAGAATCCACAAACTGGCATTAATAATACACATAATAAACACAGGCAATCACAAACACGCTAATACACAAACACCAGGGGCCTCATGTACGAAGACTTGCGTGGAAATCATACTATAACATTGCGTACGCACAAAGCTGTAAATGTGCGTACGCAGAAAAAAATTCAGATGTATGAAACACTGCGTACGCTGAATCTCACGCATATTCTTTTGTACATCCGAATGAACGTGAAACTGAGCGCAACATGCACGAGCACATAACCCCTCCCTGCCTCCTCCCCCGTATGAATATGCAAATGACTCTGCTTTGGCAAAACCCAACGAAAAAGCAAAGACAAAAGCAAGCAAGAAGAGAAACTTTGAACAGGATGTGAATTGGAGGTGCTGCTTTCGGAGGTAGACCGGAGAAAAGCGGTGTTATTTGTAAGTTTGTTCTCCGGAATTAACAACAACAGAACAAAAATGAATAGAGTGGGAGAGTTTAGCTGATGCGGTTAACACAGTTGGGTCTGAACATCGCACTGAGTGTATTAGAACAGAAATAGTGTGATTTATAGCTGTAAAATGTTGCAGTACCCTTAACAGTCTCAGTGGCGCAGCTCGTAAAACGCATGTCAACATGTTTTGACAGGTTCGAGCATGAACTCGGTTTGAATCCAGCATGATGAACTCTCTCTTCTTTTTTTCCCCGCTACATATCAGATTTTGCCATCTATTTATCACGAGAAAGACAAGTAGGAATCATTAATAATTCTGTGCATCATATTTTATTTGCACATTTATTGAATGGAAATGTTTCTGATTCACGCATGCAAATTCATCTTCAGATAGTGTCTTTACAGCAATGTGTGTGCGGTAGATAGCTCAGATTACATTGGGAAAACAGGCGACTGCTGCAAATTGCGCTTTAATGTTGGGCTGGTCAACTGTATGGTATGGAAACCTTATATACCTGCTAGATGAACCCGTCTCATACAGCTGCCATTGCAAGGCTCAGACACTTTGTAGAGAAGAATTTAACACAACTGCCTCTAGGAGTCGCCAATGGAAATAAAACAGACTCGCACAAAAAATGTGCGTACGCCAGCCATAAAGCTGACGTGGAGCTGCGCACATTCCCACGTTCAGTTCATTGTTAGTAAATCCAAACGGGAGCGATTCTGAGCGTGAAACCTGGCGTAAGCAAAGTTTTTGTGCGTACCTAGCATTGATACTTGAGGCCCCAGCATCCACAACACTAATACACACAATGAACATCAGCATCCACAAACACAGTCTGAGCTCTTCTGTTCATTCATCTTCTAGTCTTTGTGTTAACGTGTTTGGCTCTTCACACAATGAATATGACATCACAAAACAAAGAAAGCACAACATTCAGAGCTTCATCCACCAAACCTGCTCGAGTTCTTGAGGCTTGTTGGACATGAATCAATAAATCACAGCATAATGCTTCAGTATAACCTTTAAAACCGCAGGCCTCTCATGAAACTCCTCTCAACAAACTTTTCTTTTCTGCTCCGAGTAATCGATGGACAGTTTCATGAGCATCAGAGAGCAGAATGATGATGACGATGATGATCACGTAGAGAGTTTTGCTCAGATCTCCATTGATTATAAGCCTGGAGGAATGATAATCTCCTCATGTTTTGAGAGGAAAACTGAACCGGTACACCAGCAGGACTTCTGTAGAAAAGTGTAGGCCATGTAAAAAGATGAAAGTGTGTCAAATTGACAGCAATGAAAAGACAAAGCACATTTGAACAGGGTTTTTTCAAAGACTGCAGAATACACAAGACGTGTCACTCGTATAGTTTTGAATGGGGAAAAGTGTATTGGTCAATATGGAGAATGAAGTCCCGCCTACTAGTACAGGAAACAATCATCGATTGGTATAGACTAGCTGTTTCTCAATTCCAAGAACGAGAACGGATTAGAGTTCTTGTGGAGACCGGTCTTGCTAGGTGTCCTCGGAAGAACGAACTCGGGAGACCGAGAGGGCAGAGAACGCGTCATTTGAGAAATGAGATGCTGCATTCTTCCTGATGGTCACATGACCTTCACGCGTTTTTATTTAATATTATTTAAACATTGCAGCATTCATACAGCGATTTACTGTTTTCCCCCTTTTCAAAATATACTCTGCACCATATAAATAAAACTGATTTTAATAAGAATTTCTGCAAACACCCTTATCGTGTTTACTCCTTTATTAAGATGTCCATGGTAATGTTTATATCCACCATTCATTTCATTTAGGTAAACTCCTTTTAGGGCCAGGCGATTTTTCAGATTTTTTCGATTAATTCGAATTTACGTTTTAAGACTATTTAATTTCGAATCAAATCGAGAAATCGCGATTTTTAAAAATATATATATTTAATACATTATAAATGGCACCAATGCGCTTTGGTTCACTCTATGAAGCAGGAAGCACACAAGAAGCGCCTCTCGGCGACGCACCGCGCAGCACCACAGATTTTAGAATGTCGCGTGTCGCGGCGCTTCTGGTGTACGACCTGCTTGACAGTCACGTCTGTTTGGATTGTCAAGACATTCCCTCATCAGGTCGATAAACTCGATCTCAACATGTATGAAGGACGTAAAAGCCTGCCATGTGAAAAACCGCGTCGATCTTTTGGTTTGAACACGAGCAGAGGTGAGGGCCTGCAGCAGTGAAAATGAAAGTACCCGCCCCCATGACGTCATTTAGCGGACCTAGTTGAAAACCAGACAGATCAGGCAGCATAATACAGAGAGTGGAGCAAAGCGCATCAGATGATCGGTATTTAAAAGGGGGAAAAAAGAAAAATAGATTAAATATATTATTTTATATTAGATGCACATCTGGTACTTGTATTATCCTGCTATACGTCCACAACTTCACACATTGGGTTAAATTAGGCTTTACAGTTTCCATGTTCAGTCCTTTTCTTCCACTGTATCTTTTTAAGAAAAAGGCAGCAGCAACACAACCTGACATTCAATCAGAAGACAAAGTCAAAGCCGAGCTGACAGCCAATCTTTCCTAGGCTCAGCAAAACTTGCAAAAAATACCTCTGTACTCCTGCAACTGCAATATTTACACAAATATTTCTTATTCAAATCTTCAGCAACGCTATTTAACTCGTGAATTTTTTTTACATTTATTTACACCTTGACCGATTTTTGTATGGCATGGCCATTAAAAATACAATGTTCCTTAACCAGATGGTTTTTAAAAGTTACTTTTAAAGAAAATTTTACTTCAGTCATGTTGTTGTAATGTTTTGAGAAGACTAGTAACACACACACAAAAAAATAATCGAAATCGTGAATCGGTCAAACTTTATTAAAAACCTAAATTTTTTTTTTTTGCCAAATTGCCCAGCCCTAACTCCTTTGGTAAATAAGTTACATCTCTGAACTTTGATAATAAATCTAAATAAAACGCAGTGCTTCCCACCACCCTTCGCAATGACTTCTGGGACTTGAATTCGGTGCTCAAGTCTGCATCGGTGCGTCCTCAATATCAAGAACACATCCGGGAAGTTTCACGTGTCCTTTGTTCTTGCGGTCTTGAGTATTTGAACTGAACTTTGGCAGCTGATGATGACGTTACACGAGAACACGAGGACGCAAGACCGCTGAAGAACGCATATTGAGAAACAGCCCCTGACATTTCTCCAGGAGGAAAGTTCGGATCAGATGTGTGCCTTTACCATAGTTTCTGTGGTCAACAAACATACTGGAATCTCAGCGAATGCCTGCTTCACAGACAAGAGATATATCCACAAAGCTTGAAATGTCTAGTTTTAAAGGGCCATGAAGCCCCTCTTTCGGTTCAAGTCCACCTCAGAATGTTTTCCAAAAATGCTCCATGATGGGCGTGGAGCTCTGTGAGCAGAGGCAGGAGTGGGCGTGGCCAGCAGTGCAGAGGGAAATTAGGGGAGTGAACAACTGTTGCCAGTTGGCTCACAAAAAGACACAAACCATGAGGAGACGCATAGCTTACGAACTTAAAATGCAAAGAAATAAGCAGTAATTTAATCCCCTGCTACATTTGTTATTCGTAATTTTATATACACATAACCACAATTAGTTATACCATCATAAAGATAATCGTGTTTATATAAACACTATAAATGGAGGACTTCTCTCCTCCTGGATCCTGGGTCTGAATGCAGACACAGTGGATAGAGGTGCAGCAGGTCTCCTGCCCTGTCTGTTTCAACCATTAGCCCTGCCGGTAATCTGGATGATTTTAAACAGAGGTGAACACAGCAGCATGGATATAGGTGATGTGTCTGAATAGTAACGAACTCAACTGATAAAAGACAAAGTCCGCCATTCTCTAATTCTTGTACAGGCGTGTATCGGCCCTGACAGAATCGCAGGGAAACACATGCAACAAACCCCGTGGATCATGGAAACAAACACACACGACCCGTGCAGTGCAGACGCGGTCACACTCAGTCATTGGGTTACAGCTTGGCAGGTCTGCCCAGCCTTTGGAAAGCACCTGCTCTCATGAATAACTAAAAAAGCAGCATCTTCTCATAGGATAAGAAAACTCCTCTATGAATAATAATGAGCAACATGTGTCATCACTCCACTAGCAGATTCACGCTATGTCACTGATTTTGATCCTGCCACAATAAAGATTTGACAAAAGCTCAGAATTATCCAGTTTTCCCCACAATTAAAGCAGACAGGTGCTAATGTTGTCTTAACTGATGCTCAACACACAAATCTGTTAACATCTCAAAAAAGTACAACAGTTTTTTTGTTTTTTCGCTGTCATTTCTGGAGGAGATCCGCCATCAAGACAAAGTTGTGATTTACTTCAGAACACCAGCGCGGTCAAACGATCATTATTCTGAGGATGATTCTGCGTAGAATGGCCATAAATGAGATTGGTGTCCTGATCTTGTTCCTTTCGAGTGTGGCAACCTGAAAACACTGCAATTTTGATTCGGACATTTAGAAACTAAACTTTTGAGTAGGGCCAGATGGAATCTGTGGACGTTTTTTGCTATTTCTGTGGAGAATTTTGGTAAAAAAATCTGTGGATTTCTGCCGAATTATTTTAGGAGTATCATAACTAAAACCGTAATATGTGAAATAAAAAATATCGTTTAAACTTTTATTTAATGTTTAAAATGCAAATCCAATTAGATTCGCTTTATTTGGTAAATAAAGCAAGTCTCTCATATAATATCTCCACTAAAAGAAAGAAAATATTAATGTGCAAACTGCATTATAGATAAATCAGATGAGCATTTTCATATTAGTCAATAATATTACTGTAATTAATTGAAAACTCAATAAATATAGATATTACACACATTTACTCAAGTAAATAAACAGAATTAATGATGGGCTAAAAATCTGCAGAATTCTGTGCGCGCAGATTCGGTGCGGGCCTACTTATGAGACAGTTCTTGTTTAATTCTATTGGTGACTGAAAATATGTGATTGTGAGCTTGGCAAACAGTTTTGGAGAATTTGATATTTCCCCATTTAGACTGAATGCCCGAGCATACTGCCCGACAGGCGTTTCAAAGATGGCCATCTGTTTTTAAAGAATTAGGTATGGTAACTTAGAGTATGTTTTTTTTTTTAATTCTTTTTTTAACTCGGAATATGTAAAATGTTTCATAATTAAATAGCTATTTATTTGGTGTACTATTTTCAAACAGTGAGGCAACAGGATTCATATAATACTAGGTGTTAAATTTAGAAGTGTAGTGAGGGAAAATGTTTTTGTACACCAGACCAGTCATGTGGAATAAATTGCCAAAACCGATCAAGGAAATGAAAGACTTAAGGAGGTTTCAGAAAAGCTATCAAAATATAGTTGTTTGATTCTGCAAGAAAAAGTTAAATTGAAGAGGATTAGACTAATTTAGATAAAAACAAGATCTGTGTTTTGTTTTTTTATTTATTATTATTACTATTATAGTAATTTTATTTGTTTACTTTTTGTAATTGTATTTGTTGATTTTATTATTGCATTAATCTTTCAATATATTGTCAATTGTGGTGTGAATGTTTACTGGACAAAATTTGTAAGACGTTGTGTTTGAATGTCTAAAAACAAATCAAGAAAGTAAAATAAAAAACAAAGATAAAAAAGATAGTTGTTTGATGGGGATGGCGAGTTTGCATGGTGGATGATGATGCTTTTACATGCTCTTGTCTTGTGAATAATTTTGTTCCTGTTTTAACATGTGGAGGTACTGTTTTTTTATGCATTAACTGTTCTTTGCAGCCATACTTAAACACAATGGTAACAAACACCGAGGGATTTATTGTGTTTTTATCTTCGACAGTTTAATTTCAAAATGTACGGTTAACTTTTTTTTTTGTAAAGTTTGTTTAAAATCTGTCAAATGCAATTCAATGGTTTTGCTGATTAAATAAAGCTTGGCAGGTAGACTCTGATTTGATTGCAAAAATTGTCTACATTTTAAAATCGTACATAAAGTAGACAACATGTATAGAAAACAATAAAATATTGAGTTTCTTCAACAAATGCACAAACACAAAATATAAGAATAATAATTCACAGAACGAGTGCAATATCAAATTAGGATGATTAACCTTATTATTTAAGCAAATAACAAAATTTCAGTGTTTAATAGAAAAATTACAATATTTTACTATCATTCTCTACATCTATATCCATCTCTACATCTGTCTATCCATCTACATCTATCTGTTTGTCTATCTTTTTTTAACACATTTAGATTTTGTTTATTAAAAAGGAAAAATCTTGCCCTGACAACACAGTATGACATATGAACACTATTTTTGCTTTGTTTTTATTTCAAGTTACTACTGATTTTAAGGAGCAAATTTCTTTTGCAAATTAATACACCTTTCAAATCGTTACAAATACAGAAAGAAAAAAGGTCAATGAAACAAAAAAGGATTAAAACTATCAAAATAAAAACGTGTGGTTCATTTTCTCGTAAAAAAAAAAGAAAGAAAAATAAATAAAATCGCTTTACTCACCAACACAACAGAGCAAAAACATGGCAGTTCCCAGCGGACACATCTCCAGACATGTGAAAATATCTCCAATCCAGAAACTTAAATTAACATCACAGTCCTCTCATAATTTCCTCAGGACGCTTCCCAGATATTTGACTTCCAGAAACAAGAGAAAAATCCCATTAGGCTGAACAGGACATTATTCATTCACTGTGATTAGTCTCCGCTGCCTTCCACATGACCTGCTGAAGGAAATCTCCACATCCTCAGGTGCGTGTGTGAACTTTGGATCCACGTCTTATCAGCAGCACGTTCCTGTTTTCTGCCTCCGCCCATTCAGAGGTGTATTAAAGAGCTTTCTCAACTCGAAATTCAGGTTTATCGGCTGCAAAACTGAAACTGGAAATGAAGAGCTTCTCAGAAAGGCGGGGGAGAAGAGAAACACACCTTCAGGTTGAGATGTGGGCGGTGACATGCTCAATGTTACCTGTAATGACACAAAAACTCAGTAATGAGTAACGTTACAGCATGACATCAGGTGAAACAATCTGTGACTGACAAACCACAGTCTTATGTACACACAGACGAACTTTTTAAAAGGACAGCACATTTTTTTAAACCTTAACTCCACAAGGCCCTAACTCCGTTTAATATCCATGTATTTTGTTTCATTTATACTTTCTGTACACCCCTGACCACTGTTTCTATTCTTCTGTTGTTTGAGCATTAAAGGTATAAATAAAAATTCAGTTTGAAACCGTTTACATGAGTACCAACAGATTGTACTATGTGTGTAACGGTTAAATCTAAACACAGTTAGGTATGCACAGTGTTTAATTTGTGAATCGTGAGGTCTCGGAGCAGATTAGGGTAACGGATCCGGTATGCTACCCAAGGATGTAGATGTGTCACGCTTGAAAATAGAAAGGGGTGGGGGGGTGTTGGGTGGGATGGTGAGATAGCGGCATGTTACAGACACAAGTCAAAAGCTGGGGCGGGGGTTGGTTGTCGCGGAGGAAAGTGAAAGAACAGTGGACAGGGAAGAGGTTTAGGAGGGGGATCTGTAAAATGACATGCCGGATCCGGCGTGTTCCAGCACGAATTAAGCCCTGGGTATGCAACACAGTTTTTGGGTCACGGTTTTTTTTTTTGGGGGGTACGGTACATGCTATCCTTTGAAAAAAAAAAACTGGCTACAGAACAATTCATAAGCAATAGACATTTATTGGGTAACAAACACCTGATAATGCAACAGCTTTACACATTTGACAGTAGATTTGCATGTTCTCGCATTAAATAAATAGAATTTTGAAAATTGTATGTTCAAATAAATTAAGAAAATAAATAGAAAAAGGTTCAAATTGTTTTCCTTTTTCTATTTTTCATCTCGACTTGACATTCTCAACCAATTATGCAGATGATAAAGATGTCAACACATCTTAATGATTGAGCTCTTTTAGAGTGTTGATCACTTCTGTTGATTATACTTGCATTACCAAGGCAACAACACATTTTATTTATGATTTCTATATGATTTTATTATGATTCCAGAGAGCTCCGTTTCACTTATCAGCACCATTGTAGTGAATGAAACTTAAGCAAAGAGGGAGTGTTCGACTCTTCTCTCTTAATTCAGCAGTTAGCCGAGAAGAAGCAGACAGCGGGTAAACATTATTAGTTATTAGCGGAAGTGATCAGCTGCAGAAGAACATCCAGCAGAAGCGGGACTGAAGTAACAGATCCGGGGCCTGTGGGAATATAAATTTATATAACCTAGTTCCAAATTAGCAGTAATCTATTTATATAACTTACAAGTTATATTTTTTGTTTTTTAGGGTGTGAGGCCTTAATTTCTTGGTTTCCTGAGCCCTGACTGTCTTCAAAGTAATACAAATTGTCAGTTTTACAGCACAGCTGTGTCTTCGATGATGCCACAGCGATGCTGAGTTCTTCTTATTAAAGGATTCTGCTTTAAAGATACCCGAAAGTTCTCTCAGGATTCATCTTAGAATTTCACAACAGTTTTCATGCCGTGAGCCAGACAGAGAAATTCACAACAGGCCTCATTTATCAATGCTGCATACGCACAAAAACTTTGCGTACGGCTGGTTTCACACTCACGTTTGGATTAACTAACAATAAAATGAACGTGAGAATGTGCATTGGTCCGCGCCAACTTCATGTCTGGCGTACGTGCATTTCTTGTGTTTGTTTGTTTTATTTCCATTGGCGACTCCTAGAGGCAATTGTGTTAAATTGCACACAAAGTATCGCACCAACACATGAAAAAAACATTGCTGTTAGTTTATAATCGATTAAATAGATTAATTGACTATATAAATATACACATATATATATATATATAATATACACACACACACACACACACACACACACACACACACACATATATATGCACATCAGCCGTGAGCAAGAGATGGTATGGCGGAGTAAGATGACAGCAGTGAGGTGTGCTAGACAAGCACAAACCGTGTGCAAACACTGCAAAAAGACGTTCGTTTACACAAACAGAAGAACAAACATGATGCACATAAACAGTCAGCACAGTGCAAAACTACTGTCACAGACGTCTAAACGCAAAAATACTATTAAAAAGCCAAAGCAAGCAGACAGGATGATTTGCAGCTCCGCTTGCCCTGTAGAGTGCTACAGAGATCACACGGTGCATCAGTGTCTTCAAAGCGAAAGTGTTTTTCAGACTGAAAGAGAAAGTTGTGCTGTTACAAAACCAGGTAGTAGATTGTTCCTTTACCCCTTCTCTCTTTTTTCTATTTAGTTTATGCATATTTGAATCATTTGCTTTTTGCATCTGCTTTTTTACGCCGCGGATGCCTTTCCAGCTGCAACCCAATACCCATACGCTCTCACATTCATACTAACACACTATCACCAATTTAGCTCATCAATTCCCCTATAGCGCATGTGTTTGGACTGTGGGGGAAACCGGAGCACCCGGAGGAAACCCACACCAACGCGGGGAGAACATGCAAACTCCACACAGAAACGGCAACTGACCTACCCAGGATTTGAACCAGTGACCTTCTTGCTGTGAGGCGATTGTTCTACCCACTGCACCACCGTGATGCCCACTGACATCATACATATCATCAATAATCAATATTGCAAATATTCAATATATACAATAAAGTTACTGCGCAGCCCTAATATATGGTCATACTGCACAGCCCAGCTCATGATGGTTTTGTGCAATGAATGTAACATCCATTAGCTCAGGCTTCATGATGAATGCTGAAGATATTCCTGTGATCATAATTCATTACTAATGTCCTTACACTTCACCCTTGAGAAGAGAAAAAGCTTTTGTCAAGCGATTACAGCGTTCACTTTCAGTCCCACGTTCCCTGAGGACAGCATTCCCATTCCCTCAGTGTCCTTCAGGGATGTGAGACGACTTCAGACTGGAATGAGATCGAGGACGCAGCATTATCAAAAGCACACTGCTGTAGAGAGCGCAAGGTGTTCTCCGTCTCTGTGAAAGAAAAGAAACTAATTACAGAGAGCTGACAGACAATCGATAGAAGAGCTGACACACACAGACACACACACACACACACACACACACACACACACACACACACACACACACACACACACACACACGAGAAACTGAGCTGGAGTAGAGGAGAGCAGACACACAAACATCTACACAACACAAGCATATGCATACACACAAGCACATGCACACAAACACCTTGCAACACAACACATGCATATGCATACACACACTCAAGCGCATGCCCACACATACACACACAGACTCAAGCACATGCATACATCGCACCTATGCATACACAGGCACGCCCATCAGATCTCAAAATATTCTTGTGAGTGCCATTCATGCCGCTGTTGTCACGCAAATACAGAGGCCGCTGACGACTGATTGACTGATCGAATGACTCGCTTAGCTCTTTCCCTAAACCCAACCGACAGTGTTTACGAAAAGCGGCAACTGCCCCACCCACTGCCTTCTCTAAAACCAACCCACAGTGTTTTCGATAGGCACCAATTGACTCACCCATCCACCCACCTCCCAAAACCCAATCAATAGTGTTTTCAAAAGCACTGATTGACCTGCAGATCATTCTTGGCAACCACCTCATTCACTTCAAACAGTGATCCCATTTAAAATAACAACTGCCATTGGGAAAAATTACTTCATAAGCCATTTATCCCAATGGCTCAAGCCATTTGACCCGCCCATCCCCTTCCCTAAACCCAACTGACAGTGTTTTCAAAAGCACCGATAGACCCACCCAACCAATAGTGTTTTCAAAAGCACCGATTAACCCACCCATCCCCTTCCCTAAACCCAACCAATAGTGTTTACAAAAGCACTGATTGACCCGCCCAACACCTTCCCTAAACCCAACCCAGTATTTTTAAAAGCATCAATTGACCCGCCCACCGCCTTCCCTAAACCCAACCAATAGTGTTTTCAAAAGCACGGATTGACCCGCCCACCGCCTTCCCTAAACCCAACCCAGTATTTTTAAAAGCATCAATTGACCTGCCCACCGCCTTCCCTAAACCCAACTGACAATGTTTTCAAAAGCACTTATTGACCTGCCCACCCACTTCAATAGTATCTGGATGCAGCCTTTATGATGCAAGCTGAGACTGCATCACTCAGCGATGCAATGTCAGACACAATGCACTCAAATGGAGCTAGTGACGTCACTGTGAGGGATAGGGTTAGGGGTGGGGTTAGGTGAGCGCATTAAAAAGCATTGAATGCAGCCCATATTGCACTGCACCAGGTCTGCAGCCAGACCCCTCTCAACCACTTCCCTAAACCCAACCAAAAGTGTTTTCAAAAGCACTGATTGACCGGCCACCCCCTTTCCTAAACCCAACCCAGTTTTCAAAAGCAGATTGAACCGCCCATCCCCTTTCCTAGACCCAACATACAGTATATTCAAAAGCACCGATTGACCCACCCACCCCCCTAAACCCAACCGACAGTTTTAAAAAGCAATCCAGAAAAAGAAAAGCCCTCGTGGTCAGCTGACTTTTACCATGTTTTCAGATTTTACCTCATTCTCACCCTGTTATTTACTTGTTTATTTTATTTTCTGGCTTGTTTTTGTCTTAACTACTTTTTTTTTCTTTTTTCCCACGTTTTTCACTGGACTTGAACCCCTTAATCGTGGTCAACTCCTCTCTGTGCTTCAAGTGCACTGATGTATGCGGCGAGCTACTGGGCAAACTGGTAACAGAAAGGAAAAGCAGTCCATTTGTGGGCAAGCGCTCACCTGGTAAGGTGCAAAACTGAACGCCATCATAACGCAACAGAGTTAGTTTTAAAGACAAAATACAGCCATACGCACTTCTGGCAACATACTTGGCGATCTCCAGAAATGTATATAGGGCTACGCTTTCAGAATGAGCCTTTGTTGGCATACACACATACACTTTCAAGGCAAGGCAAGGCAAGTTTATTTATAT